GTTTTCCACTAGGCGGAATTTTCCGCGCGGAGCGGAATTTCTCTTTGTCTTGTGATTTCTCGGGTGGAACCAATTGGAAAAGACAAAGAGAAATTCCGCTCCGCGAGGAAAATTCCGCCTAGTGGAAAACGGCCTTCACTAGGCGGAATTTTCCGCGCGGAGTGGAATTTTTCTTTGTTTTGTGATTACTCGGATGGAACTAATTAGAAAAGACAAAGAGAAATTCCGCTCCGCGCGGAAAATTCCGCCTAGTGGAAAACGGCCTTTAAAGCTGGCTTTCCATTGAGGCCGTTTTCCACTAGGCGGAATTTTCCGCGCGGGGCGGAATTTCTCTTTGTCTTTTCTCATTAGTTCCACCCGATAAATCACAAGACAAAGAAAAATTTCGCTCCGCGCGGAAAATTCCGCCTAGTGTAAAACGGCCTTTATGCATATAAACACAGTAAACACATAAAATATCTATTTATAGCCGGAATTTAATTTATACTTCTGTAACGAACTATGACCCAAAAGTACAACCAATATTCATGTTTCTTAAGGCCGATTCACACTACATAACATTTGCCTTATTAAGTTCTTTGTATGTTTGCATGGCGATAAAATATAATGGTTTTGTTTGTGGAAACACCACGTAAATTTATTACTGCAGTAATAAATTTACGTGGTGTTTCCACAAACAAAACCATTTTATTTGCCTTGTTGTTGTAAATATCATTGTTTACAACTGTTGATGCATACACTCTTTTGTGAATTATTTGGTTGAACTGCTATAACGACAATAGCTCGCCGACATACCGTAGGTATACAGGGTGAGTAAAAAAAAACTGACACCTTTGTTATTCAAATTAGCCGCGAAGGTATCAGTTTTTTTTACTCACCCTGTATATGTGAACCATACTTAAAACTGTTGCATGCAACCTGCATAGAACTTGAGTTGTACTGGGTAAATGAAGAAAACAACTCACCTATAAGTTGTGTGCTTGACTTACACAGTACAACTCAAGTTGTAAGCATGCAGATTGCATGCGACAGTTTTAGGCAAAAAGTTGTGTATAGTGTGTAGTGTAAATCGGTCTTTTTTGTTCTGGATACTGAAGATACTGGCAAGTTAGAATTAAGTCACAAACGTTGATTATTCAACATAACTATTCAAGGTATTTGGGTGAAGCTAGTAATACCTGTTATCTATAGAAAATACTTCCCGTTTCGATGTTGATGTCGATGTTAATTATAATAATTAATTAAGTATTGAATAAAAACAGAAACCAGACATAACACTACAGTGCGGTGCCGTGAGTATGGATTGCGCAAAATATATTAAGTAAACCACAAGCGCAAAGACATACTATTTTTCAATAAATACCAAGACTTATGATTCCGAGCAAACTAACCGACCGTAAAAAACTGACTGACTAACCGATAGACAGGACTCACACAGCGAATATAAAAGGATGTGTAACTTCGCTCATGCATGGGCACCGCAATAGAAAGCTTATACTTCATGAACCGATTAAACTTTTGATAAAAAAAAGTTGAAACAGCAATTTTAATTAAATATTCATAGTGAGAGAAATGACATGCAACTAAAATGCTGGCAGATAACTAATTTATCCGTGTATGTCACAGGATTGCGTAAACTAACGCAATTGCGTAATCTAGAAATACATACCGTGTATGTTACAAGATTTTCCGTGTGGCATGCATGTTACAGGATTTTCCGTGTAGGTTACAGGATAGCCGTATTTAGAATTACAAGATTGCCCCTAATAAACTAACAAAAATATCTGACAATATTTTAAGTTTCGTTTAATTAAAAATTATTTTTCAGTAACATGTTAACATGTAACTTATATGCATGCAGTTATTATGACCATGCATGATGCAATGATTGTTTTAGCAATCCTAATACACGATGCACCCACGTACAATACGATGTTAATAATCGTCAGTTCAGAAGTTTAAATTTCACAAAAGTATTCACGCACTGTCCCACCTTTTCCGTTGAGAAAAGATTTAAAATTAGGCACGCAAGCATTATGTCCTTTTATTTTACATTCCATAGTTTCCCTTGGGTTCCCGTGCATTGCATGACCCAGATATTTTTCCTCGCCATATCTTCCAAAAATGTATGCGAATAATTTTCTGTCACATGAAATCCATTTACCATTTATCTTTATTTTCATCAGTTCTGGAGTTGGACCTCTTTCAGAAAATATCGTCGCAATCCCACCAGAAAGATCACCGACATTTCGTGGCGTGCAGAAAACATGAACCTGGTCTGACATTAAGCGAACAATATATCCTTTCTCCTTTTTAAGTGGTTCAAACAAGTTATAGATTTGTTTACGAGTTAATCCAAACACGTGTATGTCTACATCTCCTGAATCCCAAGGGAGTACAGACTGCATTTTAATTGAACCAAGACTCATTCCGCCAACAAGACGGTAACTAACGTTATGTTGGTCAAGGTGATCGGTAACTTCCAGTAACGTTGTAACTAAGTATTTATACAAATAAGGATACGCGTAAAGGCCTTTATACGCCCAATGCCCACCATCCAACATGAGCTTGTGCGAGTTTTTCTCAATACACAAATCTTTTCCACTCAAGGGGCTTGTTGGGCTGCAAAGTTCGATTAGATTTCCTTCAAAATCTTTAAAAATGAACACTTTGTGCTTAACTGCAAATGGGACAAGTTCTTTTGTTATTTCATGTGACATCCATAATTGATACAATGTTTTAAACTCGCCGATCAAAAACATCATACTAGGTCGTGTTCCTGCTGTGAGGTTGTAACTCTCTGCTCGAAGGAAGAAATCCCTAAGGACTACAACATCAGGCATTTTTGGATCAAATGCTTCAGAAATATTTTGTATACTGCTTGTTCTAGCCATAAACGACGATGATATTCCATCACAGATCATGACGTCATCCAAGAAACGCACGTACTCATAGCTTTCTGAGAAAGTCCATCTACACAGTCGATAACGGTTACAGGGCACGTAAAAACGTTTCTCCTTTGAAAGGTAGGAACCTCCTACGAAATCCAACTCAGGGTATTTCTCAAGAGCATTCCATAATAAAGTTACATCCTCTTGATGACGATCCGAAGGAAGTACATTTGGTTCTAGAAATAGGAAATATTCTGTTTTCACCTTTGGGATTAACTTATTTAGGGTAACCGCAAGATTGTTGTCTTTATTATCGTTCCAAAACAATGTGGACTTTGGAAACATCACTCGAAGTCGGTCTAACCGGTTGTTTGGTAATATTATTCCATCTTTATCGTAGACAATTATTGATAGTTTCTCAGACGCGAATCGCCGAGGAACTTTTATCTGTGGCCGTTTTGGTTTCTGAGTCGTTTTTGCTTCATATTCTTCTTTCTTATGATGATCTGCAACCTTTGCAGGATTACATAGAGGTGAAATTGTTTTTGGTTGAGTAGGTTCGTCCCGTTTGCTCCTTGCATGCAGTTCACTGTTATCCTGTTGAAGCTGATTTGTTCTCTCTAACGCTTTAACTTTAACCTTCAAACTTGTATTTTCGTTGTATAGAGAGAAAGTAACCAACAGGAACAGAAAAATCACCGTCAGTGAAACAATTTTTGACGGAGTGACTCGTGGATAATGCCAGTTTCTCATGACGACGTTTATCTTCCTGGTCTACGCTTGCATGCGATTAAAGGTTCAAACTAGAAACAAAATAGGTTAAGTTAGATTACAGATGAAACGGAAAACAAAATAAGTTAAATTCTATAGTTTTAGGTTTAAACGACAAATATTTACTCAATGAAACCTTAGGCCTGGTTCCCATATAATGGTCGTAAAAATAGAATCACGATCTTTCCCAACGGCCAGTTTATAATAGTTTCTCAAATTATAATCACTCCGCGTATTTTCAGTTCTAAAATGTTGTATTTCGGCTGATAAGAAAGGTCGCGTGACTCAATCTTTACGACCATACTGTATGAAATCAGGATTTAGTACTGTACATATATATTATACTGTTCGCTAAATACTTATCGAGAAAAGAGGATGTCAAAAGCTGGGCTGAACAAACATTTTGCACAACTCCATGTTTGCTAATTCATTGCTTACTATTTGCTAATGCAATCTCTATTTATTCTTGCTGTTGTGGCCGAAATTTTGTCATTTTTACGCCGAAAATGCGAAGTGGAAAATCGACTTTATGCATGCAGAAAGAAGCGAATACGATTGATCTTTTTTGCACGAAATGTAGAAAGAAACGAATATGACAAAAGCGTAACCGTGTAACGCTTAATTTCTATAAGTTTTAATATAATAGTGGACAATGTGATTTTGAAAGGGGCTGATTACATGGAGAGTTTTGAGCCCGGGCTGTGTTTCAATTCATCCAGGTTTCCCGGTGTCACAGCGGATATGGACTCCCTGCGGATAGGGACTCCCAGGTATACTTTCATTTTCCGTTTTTATTTGAGCAGTTAAAGGCTAGTTTCCACTCAGGAAAATTATCCGTGGATTGGAACGGACAAGAAAATTTTTCTTTGTCTTGTGAGCTCTGGGTTGGAACTAACAACTTTAACACCAATAAAGAGGTTCTTGTCCGTTCCAATCCACGGATAATTTTCCTGAGTGGAAACTAGCCTTAAGAGTCAGCTAGAGCATATAGCAATTCCAAGGAGTAAAATACTTGTGAAGGCTTTATGCTCTTCTCATATCTCGCACATTCCAAGATCATAGAAATAAACCCATGTACCAAAAAATTATAAATCATAAACTTTGACGGAATTCTCCAATCTAAAAATCTAAGATTTGAAAAGAAAACGCTTTCAGTACAATATTCAAAATACAATACGTTGCAATGACAAAATACGCGAGGGGTCCAAATTCGCGAGGGGAGTCCAAGTCCGCTAGCGAATAAAGACCCCCCATAGGTCCATATTCGCTAGAGGATATGGACTCCCTGGTCCATATTCGCTAGCGGATTTGGATAAAGTCCTAAGGATAAAATCCTATTAAAACAGAGCAATCGATTACATGACCAAAATTCCAGTCCCGGGCCGTGAAATTTCAGCCCGGTTTGAGCTGAAATTTCAGCCCGGGCTGAGCTTCAGCCAGGCAGCATGTAATCGCAAATAATTTCAGCCCGGGCTAAAAAACAACCGTTGAAATGGCTTTATTTTGCGTGTTTGTTACATCTTTAAATACTTTACATATAAACAGTCTCACCACACAAGTCAAATAGTCGACTAATCAGCGTCTGAATACTTCAAAGAAGCGTAATAGGCTTATTGTTCTATTTCGTGACACTCAGATTATTTCAGCCCCGGGCTGAGATTTCAGCCCGGGTTGACTATAGCTACATATAGGATTAGTTCTGACTAAACTCAGCCCTGGCTCAAACTGCTCATGTAATCGTGATGCAATTTCAGCTCGTTTAACCGGGCTGAAACTCAGTCCGGGCTGAAAACTCTCCATGTAATCGGCCTGATCCAAACACGGGTTTCGACCAATCAGAGCACGCGTTATACACATGTTATTTCATAAAATAACATCATTATCGATGCGTAAGCATAAGCAAAATTTCTGATTCCTACGGATTTCCACTTTTTAATTTGCATGCTTGTGCAAAATACTCGGTTGTTTAATAATATCGGTTGTGTCTGAACGGGACTAAAGCCTGAATAAATTGAATGTCGATACATGCATGTCTTTTGTGCATCGTGTTAAAGCGGCCGGTATTTCAAACTTATAGCTCGATCGACCGTAGACTAGTGAATAGTTATACTTATATACGCAAATATTTCTCGTGGCAAGATTCGAAAAGATACCGATGTTCTCTTAATTACAACTGTAGTGTGACTGAGTGACTTCAGTACAGAGTTTATTAGTTGATGTTTTGCATGTAGACTCGATCAGTAATCACCAATCAGGTAAAAGCTACTTTCAACTCAGGAAAATTATCCGTGGATTGGAACGCACAAGAAAATTTTTCTTTGTGTTGTGAGCTCTGGGTTGGAACTACTGACTTCAACACAAAGAGAAATTTTCTTGCCCGTTCCAATCCATGGATAATTTTCCGGAGTGGAAAGTAGCCTTAAATTAACTCGATAAGTAATGAGGTGACCGCAAGGGAATATAATATATTGATATATTGCGTGGTTTCATTAAGAACGAAGCAGCAACAGATATTGATATATGGCGTGCTTTCTTTGGAACAAAGCAACATAATATATTTGATATATTGCGTCGTTCCTTAATTAAAGTGCTACTGTGACCAAATTTTCATTTCTGTTTTTTTTTCCCATGATTGTGAAGAATGCGTATAAAGAAGCTGTCACGCAAAATTTTAGCGTGATATCTTATATTTGGCCTGAGTTATACGACGATGAAGTTCAAATTTTGGCGGCCGCCATTAAAATCCGCCATATTGGAAAGTTCAAGTGTTCGGGAGTCTTTAACGTCATAGTCTCAATACATGCTGGGCGTGCAACATAATAATATATACGCGAATATAGTAAAACTCGATCATGCCTTCATCGCGTATGTTGTACAAGATTGCAGCAATACTTCTGACAAAAACGCGGGTAGATCATTGCATAAGAGCCCAAATGACGAGTCTTTGAGAAGAATATAGGTTAGATTTGTGCAAACTAAGCACGCCAAATTTTATCCAAGCTCGCGGGAAATTCGATTCATAATTTGTTATTTTGTTCGGACCAATTTTCAACGGATTGTTTTGAGCGTTTATTTCATTTGGATGGTTTGCAACGACGACTAAAACCAGGTTCTAATCTGTGCCTGCTATTTGGAGGAAAGCGCCTGCGCAACTAACAACAAGAGACAGGCGTAAGGTTTAGTCAAATATGAATATATTTTAGCTACATACATATTTACATAATCTGATATAAGGCCAATGAAAATTGATATCATGTTTCTCGTCCACAATTTTCAAAAATTTGGAGCGGGATTTTTTCATTTTTCATTTTTCATTATTTTTTGTATTTGAATTGCTTGTCAATAATTTCCTTGAACCAGTAAAGAACCTCATAAAAATCTGAAGTAAATCGGTGTATAATTCATTTTAACTTAATACGTCCTACACTACAGTATATTTCTATACATACCAGGACTGACATGAAAAATAGGGGCCTTCTGGCGAGTAATATCTTTAGAAAGATACAATTTGAGTTGCGCTTGCGGAATGCAGCAATAAGTCTTTGATCTGCAGATCAATTTGGTGTTTTGTTAAGCCTAAAATAATGAATAATGAAAAATTTTCGTGCGGCAGATAAATCCCATGCGGGCGGGGACGAGAAACATGATATCAATTTTCATTGGCCTAAAGTCCAGATCAATTATAAATTCATGGGACAAGTGTTGTTCTCATATTATTGAAAATAGATTTAAATTTTAAACGAGTTGGGCGAAACTGCAAACAAGACTGATACAAACAAGGATGAACCATCGAGCTGTTTTTTCAAACTCCGTGTAAGCTACAATATTTGACAATATAGATTGGGACAATCTAGTTTTCACATGCATTCGGTTGCAATATACCATTTCCTGATACATATTTTCCACCCTCCCCCCCCCCCCCCCC